TATATATATATATATATATATATCAGTTTTTCAGATATAAAAAAGTTTATGATAAAATGGCTTTATAATACAACACGGATACACGAAGTTAACGCGAAAACGTAAATAAATGTATCTAATTCTACAAATCTATCTAGGATAAATTTCAGCATAAAAACTCAATTAAGAGCTATGTCGTGATAGATTTTTTTCTTTCACTAATTAATTTTGGGACCAATTACTAAATAATTTGTCATTATTTGTTCTTTTTCTTTGAAACCACATACAATACATTCATTGACAATCAGTTCTTAGTTACTTATATTCGATAATTACCAAAGTTCATCAATAATATATAGATGATCAATGTATAATATAGCGCTAGAATATGATTTACAAAGTCCAAGCAATCGCTTGTAACATTCGTTGTATCGTTATTCAGTATTCTTAATCTATGTTATTATGTTTTGGACAATCCATTATAGCGGCACTTAACAATCAACTTATTTAAGTAGTCTCGTGAAAAAAGCAGAATAAGAATCTATACAACGTGTTACATCTGTTGCTATTTACGCCTGGAATTAATGATTTTTCTGAAATAGTATCATAGGTCTATGGGGTATGTTTCGAATACATTCGTTACATTGCACACGCTATCTTATCAATGATGAAACTCTTAGATTTGTAACAATAAATAAATTATTGTTTGCAACATATCGTCTATTCAATAACTATTTACTCAATTGAAGAATAATTTGGCATCGGTGTTATGTAAAACTCCACCAGATTATCCAAATCGTAAAGTCTAGTTATGGATTCACCTAAAAAATATATATTACGTATTTTTTTTTTATTTTTTAAAATAATGTTTCACTTCATTTCTAACATTTACCTGCCAAAGTCATTTCGTTATGTAAAAATCGTACTGTGTGCGCATACGGTTGCTGTATCTTTTCCCTTAACTTCGGCGCTAAACGTCTGGTCGGGTTCCACAACGGACTCCGAAAATTTGGAACGTTCATACAATTCGGCTTCCATGATTCGGGTTTCACTTCTTCCAATGGTAATATATCAGTTATCCTATATTGACTTGTATCAATATTCCATGTGAATTTGCATCCCACTTCGTATTGCGTTCTCTCTTGAGAGCTACATTTCACCAAAATAAGTATAATAGAATAACGAAAATTCTTGAACATTCTTAAACTAGTACGAACCATTGAGTTTGACTACTAATTTCACTAGCTTGTATCTTCATGATTAATAGACAGATAATGTCACCACTTAATGCGCACACATCTATTATTTCTATGTCATAATCACTACAGTGCCAATATCTCTTTTTAAATCTCATACAAATCCAGTCGGCAATATGATGAGAGAACGTTTCGATGTCAAAACTTAATTGATTTATTGAGACACATGGTACTATCTAGAAGCGCAATAATTGCTTAAGCCTTATTCTATCGATTATTGAATAAAGTCATTCGAATTTTAAAACAAAATACCAATTTTTCAGCTTTGCTATTGCTGATCATTTGCATTTGGACATATCCAGATCCGTGGACATGCATAGGAAGCACACATTGATAACTTACATATCCTCCTGTTTCCTCGTCTGTAAAATTTATGTACATACGTATGCTTATGCCTATTTTATTTATTCTGATTATAGACAAAATAAGAAAAGAAAAATAATTAGAAATATAACGTACCTTCAACGTCCGTAATAACCGATATCATTTCATCGTCGAGTTCTATGTAGCTTCTCTTGAAATGAGCGGTACATTTTATACTAGGATATTGTAAATTTATTTTTGGAACTAGTGGCGAAGAATTCACAGAATGCTTATTAGAACGATCCCTGTTTATGCCACCATTGGACAGTTGATTCTGATTTAATGGACGTAAGACATTTTTCTCAGCTGACGAATTAATATAACATTAACAACTTTATCTAAGAATGATCTTAGTAACAAATAATTCAGTTTACCTGAGTCAATGGCTAAATCATTAGATATACCAGTATCCTGAGTTACGCTGTAATCATCAGTTTCACTCTGATCGGAATCGACCCAATGCTTCTTACCATTTGGCAGTGCAGGTGACATTGTAGGAGAGGATGATATCTGATGTATGGAGCAGCCACGGTGTTTAAATTGATCCCGTATATGCTTGAAAGGAACTATATTTTCGGCATCTTCAGTTTCGTCGCAGAACTCGTACTTTTTGTCAGCGAGCCTCCTTTTCCGGAACGAGCTAAGCTTCTCGCAAGTTTCCTGCGCTTCATCCGTAAATTCATACGCTTTCTCAGCCTCAAGGATAAGCTTGTGTGTAGCCCTTGCCCTCGACTGCGTTGAATTCACAATGGGAGGAGGAGAATGTAAATTGGATCTCTTGCGTGGACTTGGATGACGAAAAGATCGAGACACCGGCGGTGACATCAGCCGCGAAGAACACGAAGAGGATGGACTTATAGAGACCGAATGAAGAGGAGAATTAACGGAGCCGATATTGCTGTCTTTCGAAGCACCAGGTTGAGGGGAATTAGAACGTTGACCGCGCGTGTTTTTATGACTAGACTCTGAATTTCGGGTTCTCAAGATGTCCGAAGGCGGCGTGAGAATTGGCGAAGACCATATCATTGTTTTGAGATCAGAAGGAAGTCTTTGAGGCGTAGACCGTGGAGAACACGAGGGATGTTTCACTAGCGTAATTAGATCACTACCAATGTTGAGCTCCTGGGACATGTCCTCGCAGAAGTCCTGCAAGATTTTATCTCTGACCGAGATCGCTTGCTGTTCGGTTCGCGAAACTGGACTACTATTTTGGCATTTACACTCGTTGCTGTCAGTACAGTCGCATGGCTTAACACATACGATGTCGGCAGACTTATTTATATCACAGGCACAGTCGCTTTGATTGCTACTTGAGGTATTTAACGAATCATGGCCTAACTTATCATCTAATTTAATTGGTTCTTCTAAAAAATCATGTTCTATACTCGACTCACACCGCGGCGATTGATCGACTGCACACTCGGGTGTGCCTACTTTCTCGTCGGAACTCTCGTAACGTTCCACCGTCTTAGTATAGTCCAATTCCTCAACGTCACTCATGTCTAACGGCACAGTATCAGAAATCACAGTGTCTTGTTTATCGTTAGACTTCTGGTTTTTCGATTTTGGAATGTCCAAGTCCACCCTGAGCACATGTAAAAAGTTGCCTGTATTAACTACTACATGATTCCAATAATTCAAACAGACAGTAGCACGGAACCTAGGATATGGAGAAATTACTTCGTAGGTGGTATGGACAGTGAGTCCATGTTGAAGACAATTACACCTTACACAACCATCCCAGTTTGCTGCAAGTTCTATAAGTAAAACCAAATTTTTTTTCTTTTTTAATTTGCTACAATTGCATTTTCTATTTGTGCAATGTCACATTACCTTCGCCTTCTTCTTCATAGGATGCTGCTACTTTTAAACAGTCCTTACAATTTTCAAGAGATGGCACTGTAGTTATTGTTAAGTAAGCTCTATCTGTTGGTTGAAGATGCAGCCAGTTTGTACTAAAGATTTATGTTTATTAATCACTTTGTAAAATCGAAGCCTCGATGAAGGCTATAAATGAGAAATATAATTGTAAATAAGATCTTACCAAAGGCCATGTATCACCAGCTTATTCCTTTCCATTGGCCATTGCGAAATAATAATACTAAGTTCTCTGTAGATACTATAATTACCGAAAAGCGTGACCTCTGCAACTTTACGTGCAACATGGTTTGGAGTAAAAGCCCACCAATGTAACAAGTATTTGTACAAAGAGGTAGTGCCACTCACATCCATGGTATATGTGTATGTAAGTAAAAACTGACCACACTGTGTCAATCCCATTACAATATGTCTTCAATAATAATAATTATTGTTATTACAAGATCGACAGTGTGAAAAAAGATTTTTTTTTTCATTTTATTACATTTCGCTGTCATACAAATTTATATGTGTTATGAACATACCCTGCTTCTAGTGCTGACTTTGGGATTACATGTAACAGTGGCAGGTGTCTCCAAGAAGGTACAGTAGCAAACAGTCTTTCTTCTGACGCATAATTGTGCGCTGATAAACAACCTCTGATCTGTAAAAGTTGGTCTTTCTTTATAGTATTCATATTGTTTTCCTTTAATTTATAAATTCCAAGAATTCTTAATTTTGCCTCTATGAATATTTTACTTTTTTTTATATCGCTTACAGGTATCATGCATTTAATAATCTATTTGAATCGCGACAGAGAAGAACCAAAAGAAAGATCAAAAATTGTATGGGCAAGGACAAGAGCACATTTTTTCTTGCATCCATAGAATGTTAAGCATAATGTATCAATTAAGAATCAAACGTAAAACGCTGAAGAACGATCGAAATTTTCTCCCCAATTGTATTTTATTTATTTTTCCATTTTTTTTCTTCTTTTCCTTTCTCCTCTACACTACCATGGAATTTTGGCAGCTATCTAAAGTCTGTCAATTTCATTAACGCTCACGTAGGTTAAAGGTTAAGCAACATTACCTCTCTTAAAAATAGCTTCTGTAAGAAATGTCTTTTGCTGCGACGATGAGACAAACATGGTTTCTGACCTACGATAACGTATTCCGACTTTTCGGAAGTAATATCAGAGAACCATTCATTGCAACAGTCTGAGGTAGTATCGGAAGACGATGCGTCCGCCATTTTTAAATAACCCTATACTGAGATGCGTGAGTATTAGAAAGATTGGAGAACACAGTTCAGTACGGCTTACGAAGCCCTGCTATGTGGATGTGTTATTCGGATTATTTGTTATGATCAAACTTTTAAAAGAAACAGCAATTCCATGATTAATCTGTTTGTGAAATGTGATTTGAAGATTACCTGAGGTTGGAAGAAATTTCGGTAAGCAAAGAAAAACATCAGAGTTCTATTATAACCTTTAATTTTAACTCAATGACACTTCATGTCATTTGACAAATTCATGGCAATCTTGTAATCCACAGGTGCTAAGCAGCTTCACTATCACTAAATTGTAATTGTCGAAATCTATTTACAACTATCAAAAAAAATATGGACATCACGTTGGGTGATAGACTGAACGTACTGCAACAGATAAGTCAACGAAAACTGGTTGAGATACTGAAAAAGATTCCTGGGACCAAAGATCTAGTGATAGAACAAAAGCTTATGAAAATCTTGGACAGTTTTGTAGGGGTTTCTGTACTTAAGTAATTGTCTTAACTAACAGAGAGAGACATGTTGCTTTCAGAAAAGATATTAAATGATGTTATTTCTTGTATATAGACATTACGGTGTTGAAAAAATTTACAAAATGGAACAAGGCTTGAAACTTTCAAATTCTCAGCACATATTCTTGGTTTCGACCGATCTGATCACTTGCAAGAGGGTACTAGATCAAATACAATCAGAGATTCCTCCAAATAGTAAACCGCATGTACAGCCGTATCACCACATTTTAGTTGCTCCATTTGTACCTGCTATTCTTAATTTGATAATTGAAGAAGAAGGTGACTACTTTTATTGTTCAGTTAAGTGACTACTTTTATTGTTCCATTGAAGTAAGAATGTAAATGCTCGTTTAGGACTATCCGGACTGGTTACATTACAAACATTGTCCTGGGAATTCATAAGATTAGACGGAAACATCTTGTCTCTAGAGAACTCTATGTTCATTGATTTTTACTATCACAAAGATACTACACTATTACCGGCGTTAGGACGTGGCCTATGGTCATTGCAACTTATACTTGGTTCACCTAAACTGACGGTTACCCTTGGAAAGTACAGTCAGCAAATACTTAAAATCATGGATTCCATGAGGCAGTGCTTGGGTTCCTCTAACATAGAAAATGAAATAGGAGCTTTAATTATAATGGACAGGAATTATGACTTGGTTACACCACTTTTAACGCCTGTAACTTATGCCGGATTATTGCACGAAGTGGTAGAAATAAATGTTGGCACAGGTATTTTGGGTAAATCTCAAGTTAAATTAGATCCAGACAAAGATAAAATTTATGAAGAAGTGAGAGATACACCATGCAGCGAAGTTTTCCCATTTTTGCATAAAAAGGCAAAACTTTTAAAATGTACGTTTATATGTATATACATATATATGTATCCATATATTTCTTATAATAATTACTTTTCATAGAAGTTAGTAGTATTTTTAATGGTTCATATTAGCGGAACAGAATAAGATACAAACAATGAAGTTATCTGAAATGGAAACGTATGTAACGACACAGTTACAAAAAACTAGGGATCTAACACAACAACTTGCTTTTCATATTTCTGCTTGCCAGTTGATAGCAGACACATTGAGTTCTGATTTTCAAACTTTGCAAGAAATAGAGAAGTGTATGCTTGAGTGCAGAGAAAGGAAAGAGTGTTTGAATTATATCGAGAGATATATTGGTACGTAATCTTTTTTAGCGGACAATGATATTATTTTCAAAATGATTAATTTTTCAGACGATCATCCACTGAGAACTTTGCGTCTATTATGCCTATTGTCAATCACAAGCGATGGGGTTACGCAAAGTGAATTAGAGTCTATACAGAAGCTTCATCTTCACGCTCACGGGTACAAGCACATACCGTTGTTTTATAAATTGCAAAGTATAGGTTTACTGAAATACAGGTCAGAAAATATTCTACACAAATTATCGAATTGGAACAGTGAATGGAACAATAATGCACAAAAGTTGAAGCTATTACCCAGTTACTTCAAACAAGCAAAACAAAAAAGTCATTCATGCCCGAGTTATGTATTCAATAACGTTTACGTGCCACTAATCGTTAGTAGACTTACTTATTAATTTACTTGTTAATCTTTACTGTTGAATGGACGAATCTTTACGTTGAAATGACGAAAATTCATATTTCTATAGGCTCAAATATTAAACACCGTTGTGAATCAAGAAAAGGATTCCAAGATTCTTGATGAATTGACAAATTCACCAAACTGTGTCATAAGTGGCCAACGTGGTTCATTATCACCAAAAATGGTAGTGATATGTATCATTGGCGGTATTACTTACGCTGAAATCACCGCTTGCAGATTTATAGAAAAATCGACTGGAATTCAGCTTGTACTAACATCGGATAGTATAATAACAGGTAATAAAGTACTGGAGAAGGTGCAAGATATATGAACAGCTTAAGTGATAATTAAAAATATAATAACAAATGTAATAATAAGTAATTATATTATATCAAGTGATAATATATAAATAGTAGCAAGTAATAGTGGAAGTATGAATACGCCAAAATATTATATCATTATTTATATACTGCGATTTTTAATATTATTCATATGAGTGTATATACATGATACAATGATGAAATTCACTGTTGAACACCCACATAAATAACATTCAATATTTTCTGATTTAATAATTTCGATTTTCTTCTCGATTACGATCTCGATCACGGTCGCGTCTTTGACGTCCCCAATCTTGTCCTTGTCGATTGTAATTCTGTCTATCGCGGAAGTTTCCTTGATTTCCTCTCGAGAAGAAGTTTCCTGTGGTACAAAATATTCATTGATATTTCATAATTTTGAAACCTTTAAAATTGCTTAACACGTTCATAACTCACCTTGTTTCATTTCGAAAATACGTTCATTTGAGTCTACAAAATTGTTTACTTTGTCTGTAAGCTGTAACGCCAGCGATTGCAAGCGACTTGGTTCGCTACGATGCATCACAACTGTTTCTGTTGGATCATCTAAAGACGCCATGAGTTCTTCGTTAATGATCATTTTACTAATAATGGAATGAACAACAGGTCGCTTCAGTTGAAACATCTCCGCCAACTTTGGCATAGAGATCGAATCATAGACATGGGAATATGTAAAGAGATACGTTCTTAAGGCTTCTTCTTTGATCAATCTCGTAAGCATGTCACGAACTTTGTCCGCTTGATAAAACAGATCCCACACTTTGGCATTCATCTTTTCATTAATAATAAAATTATTGCATGCCAACCAATTGCCATTGCGCATCGCTTTCGCCGCCGCGACAACGTGCTCTCTCATAGATTCTGGAGGCCCAACCAAAGATTGACGTTCACTAGATCTCAATTGTTGATAAAATGTTTTAGAGATCATTCTTCTCCTTGCGTCAAATTCATGTGCAGCCATATATGGAATTTCAATGAGCATGGCGGAAACTAAATAAACACACTCCAGAAGTTCCAAATTAATGTGCATATGGAATGGCATCTGCCTCTGTTTTTCTATCTTTTCTTGTTCTTTGCTGCGCTCATGTTGTCTCTGAGGAAGAAGACCTTGGGCCAAGAGCTCTTTTACCTTACCAGTCACCATTAAATCAACTAAACAGTTGTGTGCGTCTTTAATATTCGCGTGACGGAATGCACACAGACCCAGATGAGCGATGGTTCTGTTATACAAAATCTGTAGCAGGGAATACAAAATAATAAATAGAAGAAACACAGACTTACAATATAAAAAAGTGTGATTTTGTTACAAAAGATACAAACTTGTGTGGCTGGATCGGAATGTTGAATAGTTTCTTGCAAGTGAGACATTAGAATGAGATCGCGCGCTTGGAACCAATTATCGTGAAGGGCGTGATGATAGACATGAGAAAGAATCGCACGTGTTCTAAGCCTGTCTGTCCCATCATGAGCATAAACGTATTTACAAAGTTTCTCCATAACCTGGACAGATGTTGCAACGTCTGGTCCAAGTTCTCCCTGAAGATGTATATATCATCTTTAGATGTTTATCGACAAAATATTAATAATTGTATACTTACTTCTTTCTGTTTGAGAACATTTGGATCGAATTTATAATACAAATGTTCAATTTTACGTAGATACACGCGGCAAAGCTCAGAAACAGATCCTTGTCTCTCTAAATATTCTTGAACTTTATCTATTATTGTGGATACTTGTTTTTCATCTTTCAACCTAAAATTGAAAAACGGTAAAATTATTTTTATTTATTTTCAATGTATTAATTTATATTAAATGTACGTATGTAATTATACCTCTCCACGTATTCATTACTATGTGGATCGCATTCCTTTAATAACTTTGTGAATTCTTCATCCAAACGTTCTACTAATGTCAATACACATCCATGTATTTTGTATGGAGACGTTTCATACTCTTCTGCATCCTCAGACACTACCTCCGCGATAACCATATCTTTTGTGTTCAAAAGCATGTCGAGCATTTCCGTGATACGTTCTAGTATTCTGTAAAATAATAATTAATTTAAAATCACAAATTCCATATACCGCAATGCCACACACTAAAAATTTTAAATGTAATACCAACTTTGACCAATATTCGGGTTTCATTGCATCAGATACTTTCGGATTGTAATCGAAAATGGAAGATACAATGGAAAATTTTATCTTAACAGCTACTGCTGGCCCGAGATTATGGGTATCGGCTATAGATTGCAGTTCATGTAAGAGTTCAATTTGTTCCCTCCGATCAGTACGTTTTTTGCCGCGAGCCGCAATGATCTCGGAAAGTTTCTTTAAGACAGCGGCCACGTTAATTTCTGCGTCCTTCGCGAACATTTTCGGCTTTTCAGATGGGATGGCTACTCCGCCTTTCACCGTTTCCCATTCACCTTCCTCATCATCTTCGTCCTTCTTCTTTTTCCGTTCCTTCTCTTTCCGCTCTTTCCGCTGTTCTTTTCGTTTTGCCTTATCTTCTTCTTCCTCTTTATCTGTCACCCTGTTTCAAAACATGTCATGTTAATATTACATTGATTTATTAATATTACTTTCTTGAATAACATACTTTTTGATAAATCTATCACGTATGTTTTGATATTGGCCTTCATCCTCGCTACTTGTACTCTCGCTATCTGAAGAACTGCCCCAATCAGATTCGCTTTCACTACCTTCTTCTCCATCAGCCATACTTTTCTGTAAAAAAAGAAAAAACGTCAAAAGAAAAGTCATGAAACATTTTACTGTACGCAACAAACCTTGAATTTGGAAGTATCTGGTTCACTTGCTTCTGATCCAGCTTTTTTAAAAGCGACTGCACTATCTTCTTCTTCCTCGGATTCGACAATTTCCTCAGCTAAAAGATTTCAAACGATGAAGTTTCGCTTAGAAAAGCATAAATAAGCATTGGAGAACTATACTTACGTTTTTCTTCCTCTTCATCATCATCCTGATCTGGATTCTCTCTGAATTTTACTATATCTTCCTCGAAATCTTTGTTATACTTACGAAGCTTCTGACGCAATGAAGTCAACGATTTCGAATTATTTTTCGACATGTTTTTACGACCCTCGCGATCTTCCCACACTTCGTTAATAAAGTCTTCCATTTCGACTAAACATCTGATATAAAAACGTGGCGTCTGGCCACCTTCCTCTTTCGCTATTACAGGCAATGCCTTTTGATATGCACGCATCAAATCCTCAAAACCTAAGATTACAATGTAGATAATTCTAATTGAGCGACTACTACTTTATTTATATTTATTTAATGTCGTTAATCCTTTAAGGTCCTAAGTCTGTAATGATAAGTCTGTCTACATAATGATTTCACTGCAGCAAATCTGTTTAGATTGCATATTAATGACATGTTTACCAATGAATCTTGCCTATAATGCATGTCAAGTATTATGTTTATAATGAAATAAGATACGATAAACCTGTCAGAATATATTATGGAAACAGTTGTGAACCGCAAAGAATTAAATATTACAAAAACTTACTGGACAACATGCTGCTCATGTCTTTGATCTTTTTGTAATTTCTTATAAGTTTGATGAGATTAGCAATTTCTTCATATCTCTTCTCTTTGGTCGATCGTACAACTCTCTTAGTCTCTTCTTCTTCATCGCTGAACTAAAAATATTTTATATCACAGTGAAATTTCTTTGTAACTGAATATGAAAGATTATAGTGCTGTTACTTACGGTGAAAGCTGTAGTTGGTGCTCGTTGAACCTGCTCCTCCTCAGAGGCACTATCAGATTCAGAATCTGATCCAGTAGCAAAAAAACGACTCATATTTAGAAAAATACTGTAACAGAGAAATTAACATATTTGATGAATGAACATGTTCATCACATATTGTAATATGACAATAGTACAATATGAATTACACATGCAACTGGGGAAATTATTCTACATGTACGATAGATACATGATGCAATGCTTTAATTAATATTAAATGTATGTATAATTTTAATTGATATTTAACGTGTATATATAAATTTCACTTATCCATTCATAAACTTACGTATTACAAATTTAATCAGTACTTTGCCTCTTCAACGGGTAAAATTACAGGTTATGATGACAACGACATTAAAGGTTGATACATACGCGCATGGTTTCAAAGGTGTTCCGAAAATATGATAAAAAATTTTCAAATGTATATTCAATGTTTCTCTTATAATTGTATTAATATCGAAAAGCAAATTTTCTGGTATTGAAATTTATTAAATATATAAATTCGCATCTTTATTGAATGTAGTGACTTAAGCTATGAATATGCCAATAGTAAAATATCGTTTTAACATTAACATAATCCTTTTAACAAAATCCCGTAAGCAGTATTATATTAAGGAATATCATATTGTATCAATTAGCTGTCAAATAATGATCAAATAAACATTACTTTCGAGTTATTTTCAGCTTTCGATGTGCAATCTCTCAAATGCATTTTGGAACGTGTATATACTAACTTCCTGGAATCATTATTACAAACGCGACCCTTCTGTTGGTAATGTAAAAGGGAGTAGGACTGTTTTTCACAAGGGAAATAAACCGATCGAATAGGTATCTGCACATTACATTTAAAGACGTAAGCTCAACGATGAATTGTGAAACAACTACACGCATGAATACACGTATATTGTGTAATGGTTTATTGAATAATAAGCTCACTGTCTTCCAGCATTCCAGGCATACACAAGTGTAATTCAAAACAATCGACAATGTCTGCAACTGAACAGCTTAAAGAGTAAGTAAAGAGGTCTCGTTTAATTCATTAAACGTTACATTTTCAATGAACAACGACAATGTACTCCACGAATCGATCGATCTTTCTTCTGAAAAAAAAAGAGCCGTGAATCGTTCCTTACTTTGCGCTGACTGTGTTTTCGATGACTTTTTACGGTGAAAGATCGTACCACGGCTTCGCTTTGTACGATTACAAGGTGAGTTCCATGCAGAATTAAATACGTATGTTCCGTAGGCGTGCGAAAATGCAGACTGCTAAAGTACTTTACGTTAGAAAACAGTATAAGGAGGCATTGAAAGAGTACAGCGAACTTATTGGTAAGATATATTTATTCATTTAATAAGAAGAGTCTTTTGTGATTTTTTTTTTTTATGATCTCATGGATCAGTAAAACGGATGTATTTCTAGAGTTATATCCAAATACGCCGCTACACTATGCGAATAGAGCCGCGTGTTACATGATGCTTGATAAATATTCCCCCGCGTTGGAGGACGCAAAAAAATGCATCGAGTTGGATGCTAAAGTATGCAAAGTACGTTAAACACGCATAAGATACATAGTAGAGATACAGTCAAAGAAACGAACATACTTTTAGTTCAATTCGTTTACATTTAGGCATATGTAAGAATTGTAAAATGTTGCCTGATTTTGGGGGACATGGTACAAGCCGAGACTACTCTGTCCAAGCTGTTAGAAGTTGATCCTGAAAATAAAGGCATTATCACAGAGAAAAAAGACTTAGAATACGTGAAAAGATTTCTAAAGGATGCAGATGCTGCTTATAATGCTAAAGATTATCGTAAGGTTTGTAATTCAACTTGTAGGTAAATGTTTAGGTTACTAATAACGCAGCTAAGAATATTTAACATATTGTAATTCTTACAGGTTGTATATTGTATGGATCGTTGTTGCGATGTGAGTACTCGGTGTACAAGGTTTAAATTAACTAAAGCAGAATGTTTGGTATTCTTGGGGAGATACCAGGAAGCGCAGGAAATAGCAAAGTATATCAATAACTTTATTTTAGAAACTAAAAGTAATGAAAATTATTCTATATTATATTATTAATATTTCAGTGATATTTTACATATTGATAAACAAAATGCGGATGCTATATACGTTCGTGCCATGTGTCTGTATTTCCAAGATAATATCGACAGAGCATTTGCACACTTCCAGCAAGTACTTAGATTGGCTCCGGATCATGCCAAAGCGTTAGAAATATATAAACGAGCTAAGAATTTGAAAAAGAAAAAGGAAGAGGGAAACGCTGCTTATGAAAGGGAGCAATATGAGAAAGCATATAAATTATATACAGAAGCTTTAACTATAGATCCTCAAAATATACTAACAAATGCCAAACTCCACTTTAATAAAGCAACGGTTGCAGCAAAGGTATTACATTTTTATATTTTGTTAAAAATTTTAAAAATACCATTGCTAATTTTGTTCGCTGCTCTACCAGTTAAATCGATTAAACGAGTCAGTGTCAGAATGTACAGAAGCATTGAAACTAGATGAAAATTACCTTAAAGCACTCTTGAGAAGAGCAGCTGCTTATATGGAGCTTAAAGAATATGAGAAAGCAGTTCACGATCTCGAAAAGGCTTATAAAATGGATAAAAGCTCAGGTAAATAAAAAACACATTTTTATGCAAACAACAAACAGTTTTATAGTAACGTGATGAATGTTTAAACGTTGACAGATAATAAACGATTATTAATGGAAGCTAAACTAGTGTTAAAAAAGTCAAAGAGGAAAGATTACTATAAGATTTTAGGTATTGATAAGAACGCGTCTACTGATGATATCAAAAAAGCATATAGGAAACGAGCGATGGTGCATCATCCTGGTAGGTTTCAAAATGCGTTTCGATTCGTTTTATCTTAATTATGTTGATCTATCTTTATGTTATTACATACAGATCGACATCCTAATGCAACGGAGGGTGAAAAGAAAGAACAAGAAAAGAAATTCAAAGAAGTTGGGGAAGCCTATGGAATTTTATCTGACCCTAAGAAACGATCGCGTTACGACAATGGTCACGACATTGATGATATTGACAGTGGATTCCAAGGTTGGTATAATTTACCATGAATTTACGTTGATATGTCTCTATCATTCAGTATATAATCAAAATTTTTTTCTATACAGATATTGATCCAAATATAGTGTTTCAAACGGTCTTTCAATCTGATGGTTATCAATTCCATACAGACGGTTTTAGTTACCGCTTTGCTTAACAGCATTCCAAGGATACTTGTACTACTTTAACGTTTTAAAAGATCGTTTCATTGTAGAGATAAATGTTGAATTTGTTTATCTTCCATTCATAGCATCCCGTATCACCAGGTAGCATAAATAATATATATAAAATCTATTAGAAAAATATAGTTTTATATATTTATTTAAATAATTGTAAATATGTCTTATACGGTCCCTGATATATAGAGTGTTTTGCAGTATGTGTGAGTGAATATTGGAAATCGCATCGTGATTTTTGATAGATACGTTTCTATTGAACTATTTATATTGATGTAGGTATTTATGAAAGTTACATTCAAATTGTTTTCCCTTATCTTCCTCTGTTCAATGACATTAAAAAGTAAGTTGTCATAGTTATTAGTAAATTTTTGGTTTATGTATACGTGTTATATGTTTAAATTGTCTTCGGAATGATAAATGATCTTGTACACGTCTCTCTGTAGAAATATATATTACATTAAATATCATTATATTAAGCAATAAATTCTTGAAGAAGTATTGCAATTTTTGTTCATAGTTACTGAGGCAGGAAATTGAGGAAATAATTGGACGAAATAATATTAAACTTGAGCGTTACTCCAGAATTTGAAAAACAAAAACATAACGTGTTAAGTATCATATTTATTCCTCAAACAAAAAATAATATTGTTCATATGTAACTGATGAAATAAAAAATTTTTCTCGCTATTTTTAGCTTTACTTCAATACAAATTTTATTAAAAAAAAAAAATTCGCTCAAAATAAATTATTGAACAACAGCTATTCCTTTCCAACAACAAAATTTCGGACGCAACTGATTCGTCAATCATATTTGCTATTTTTATTTCACTTTTCGCAAAACTGCGTCTAATACTAATATTTGACGCTTATTATATTCTTTAAGTACTTATATAAGGCACGCTATAATGGTCACAGCTTAAAAATACAAAGAGATACAAAATTCCGGAAGTTACATAAATCTGAGTTAATTGAATTAGACGGCGCAAATTTAACGCACGCAACTAAAACATATTTGTTTAAAACTCATATAAAAATGTGCAATAGCACCTATGTAGTTATTACATTTCCAACAAGTATATATATATATTTAATATTCTATTAAAAGTCTACAGTGTAAGCCATTTATTTGATTCTTATACTGTAAATTTTTAATCATTACTAAGATAGCACATTTTTATCCTGAACCCATCATAGGAGCTTTGTAATCTTTATGCTAATATTATTGAGCATGAAAGTACTGTTTAAAAATATACTATGTTAGGTCTTTGAAGTAAGTACTTCGATTTTAAGTAACAGTTTCACAAAAAATAAATTAAGAAACTTTCCCTTTCAATAGTATAATCTATAGTTTATATAGTATTTCGTACTTTGTAAATCGAATATGGTATTTGCAATCTTACACATATAGCATAAGTACATATTCGAGCAATAATATACTTGACAATATATACATATGTACAAATAACTAAAATCCTAAATTAATTTTCTGCTATAATAGAATATCATACTGAGACTATTTATTTGATTCGTTGTAGGATGCCCTACCCGCTAATTCAAGTAAGTAACGATCTGGATGATCTTGCCAATCGCTAGCGCTTAACTTAACGATTCTTTGTTTTTCTGCTTCCTTCACTTGCCACTTTTTAATTTCCAATTGACGTTCCCTGCAAATATAAAATTTTTTTCTTGAAACTTACTCAACTTGACACATTGAAAAAAGAAGAGGGAATAAAAACAAGATACGTCACCTTAATTTTGCATCGCCACAACCCCAAACTTCTAAGGTAGAAATTGGATAAGGTGCACCTGCAATACTGACTGAATGGAATGATTCATCTATATTAATATATGGGGAGCGGGGATTACTTCCAAAGCGTAATCCATGAGGATAACCTCTGATATTAGTATTCAAATATAATACTTTAGCTCCCTTTTCAATAATCCTGTACGAAGGAAACAGTTCAATACCCAAAGTGTCTTCATCACCCCAATATAAATGACTTTCACGCCATTCTATCGCTGAACATATACAATATATAGGACGTGAGGTATCTTCGTTTGCACTAACAGTCCGTATAAATAACAGAGTGGGACCTCGGTATCCTAATACATGGTGAAGAAAGCGATTAGCTCCTGTGCCATGTTCTGAACTGTTATACAATAATGTCCAATGTCTAGGGCACACATTGCCCATTCTTTTAGCTATGAGTGCATGAGTAATATCTTTTGGTGAATTATCTGCCTAAACATATATTTATCTTAGTATTTTATAATTTAATATAAAATATAACAAATTTTAAGTGAGAATGTACCTGAAGATAACATTCGGGTAACGTACTCGATAATAACCACACATAGCTCATTGGTAACAAAACTTGAGGAAAACATGGGGAGTCCGGTTGTTCCAATATAGGTGTTGGTATCAACAGATGTGGTTGTGGCTGTTCTTTAGATAAGAGAGCGTTACCATTTCTGTAAGCAGTTGTTAGCACGTGTATTATATAACGATGAGGCCCATATATTACACGTGCACAATTCTGCCAAATCCAATTGCTCACATAACTCACAGACAAAGCATTTTTGCCATGAAACTGTAATATAGATTTTACATTATCTAATTAGAATTTGTTTAACAAATGCTGATAAATATTAAATTTACTGACACATGACGAGACAGCTGAATCAATTATTTGACCTTTATAGATACAAGAAGAAAGTCCGCTGTTATTCATAAAAATGTTGTAAGAAATGTTCAATAAGGCTTTTAATCCATCTGGATTTATATTTCCATCTCCTTTTATATCTGAGTACATCTTCACGTAATTCTCCAATACCGCTTGATCATTCATCACTGAGAGGAACTTTTCTGCTTGTTGTTTGAAACAATTGGCACTCAGATATGAAGTACTAACATTGGCAGCATGGTGAAGATGATTGAATAATTTTTCACCTAACTCTGGGTAATTAGGGAATAGGTAGCGTTGAAACACAGATGCTGTAATTCCATTTATACGTTCCTCATCATTAGTTAGATGAGATAAAATCTACAATACAAAATGAACGACTTAACCAGTGACTAAAACTAATTTTAACAAATATTATGTCTTTAAATTAGAAAGCAGGTATTCTATCAAGATAGAAGAAAATACAACAATAAATTTATATTCGTCCATATATTCGAAAAAATATCAAAGACGATTAAAATATGATTTCTCTAACGGAATAATATTATCTACGAAGACTATGCTACGCTACATCAGTTGCACGATTATAGGTTATACAAATATTCGTATAACCTATAATTACGTGCATATATTTGTCAAAAGAAGAGTGAATGACGAGATAGTAAAAATAAATATATATTGATAAAAAAAAAAGAAAATTTACAAATCGTTTTGCGATCTAATTCGCATTTTTTTAAAACGCTGAACGACTGTTAATGTTCCAACGATTAACATTTCCAAAAGACAATCAACGTTTCTCCGCGAGATATCGAACGCATTGTCGTCGCACGATTTACGAAAGACAGTAATCGCAAAACGCGCGCTGCAAGTAGCAAACTGAGCCTTTACCTTTGCCAGACTTTCAATCGGAAGGAACTGCATGTGCATGTTGCTCTCCAACTCGGTCCCCGAGGAACTCTTCGAGAGGTTGTTCACGCTATTTGCACTGTCGCCGGTGTGCGTGACAGCGTCAGCCTTCTTCGCGGATACATGGCCAGCACGTGTCGCTTGATTACCCATTTCAATCAATCGAATATTACAGTACCGAAGTATTCACTCTCTTATCTGAGGAGCATCGTCAGCTCACAAGCAAAACATGCATACACGACTATATGCAACTTTTCAGAACATCGTCACGAATGATACGAAAGCAAGTGTTGCATTCGCGACAAATCGAATGCACATCCCCTTCCCCTTCATCTGTTCCTTCTCTTTCCCTCGCTCCTTCATTTCTTACAATTAGGTACGTTTCACGAAGCACGTTAACTAGATCATATTCAAAAATCGGACTGACAAGTCGGTAACGATGAGAACGAAAAAATTTCGTTGAATTAAAAAGAAAAATGAATCGTCGATTCAATTTCGCCGATAATAATGGTTGATCATGAACGATGTTCGTCCGTTATTAGCTGAATTAAAATATCGATCATCGATTGTCTGTTGACTTTCGATCGAAAATCGTTGACTTATCGTTGCTTTGATAAGTCAGCGATCGAATAAAAGTTCAACAGTAAATCGCAATTGATGGGTTGACAAAGTTAATCCCAACTGCGATCATCGACATTTGAGATTAGGCTAAATCGTTTCAATCATTCGACGCAAGGAAGATAAGATATTTTAAATCTCTTAATTCCTGATACTTTTATTACAGCAAAAATCTAGATCAACGCTAATTAAATCTAGACTACCACCCTAAGGTCGACGATTGACCGTAGAGACGATCCGGGGAATTCAAACGTTGCGCGCCAAGACGCGCCATGTTGCGCTTAGATGCGCGCGCAGCCATCATCCTCATTAGCGCGTGAGATTTGGGGAGGGGTGGGGAGAGTTCTTTTCCAAAAGCGTGCATCGGCTGTCATCGGAAAAAAATACCTCTCGGTGAGAATCGCTTTCTGCGCGTTCTCTGCGTACTCTGGGAAAGAAAGAAAGGAAAAGAAAAACGAAAAAAAAAGAGAGCTCCCTCGAGCAAACCGACAAGTTCGCCGCGTATTCGCGGATCAATCAGCCGTTCTTCACCGCCTCGTGCGCGTACGTAACCCGTTTTTACTCGCATTTACGTACACAAGTGCCGCGGAACAACGAGAAACGAACGGGCTGAAACGTAGAGACGTAGTCGTGAGGAACGATCTCGCAGAGTGTAACGCGCGCTACGTGACCGATAATGTGACGGAAGAGGTAGAGTTCCGGGGGTAGGTATTCGCAGGAGCAGGGTGCGCACTTCCAAATAAGGTGCTCTCAAATGATCCAGCCGTTTCGTGTTCAATAGCGCTGCTGTGTGGTCGTTCGCCGAATTACGGCACGACGTCGCTGCTTGTCGGCGGGAACGTTGAAGTTCCCCGCGAGTGTTGGTCACGAAGACCAGGAGGAAAAGTCGTCCGCCGAACGCGGTAACTGCATTCTTATCTGTAAAACGCGCGATAGTGTAACAGCATTAATCGTCGTAGGTTGTAGCTGCATCGTCGAATATCGCTGTGTGCATGAGCGCGTGTGTGCATGCACCGTCTACAAACACGTGGTAGATTAGATACAGTCAGCGCGAGAGGATAGCAGTCGGCGTCAATTCGTTGACGATTACGGAACGATCGTATCTCGCGACGTCGAGGGAGTATCCCGAGAGTTGTCTCTCCATCCTTTCCGGCACGATTTACCGACCAATTCGAGACGATCAAACCTTCAATTCAGGCTTTCGTTCTTGATCGATGAAATTCTCGCTCGTTTCGTCAAACGTGCCTGGGGTGAGATAAAGGGAAACAACGCGCTCTATTAGGGAATAATAGATGCTCTTTCTTAAATCGTCGAAGGTAAAATCAGTGAGACAACTGGGTGATTCCGCTCCACTTAATTAACTGCATTAACTCTTTTTGCTGAGCGCGGAGAACTCGTCCGATTTCTAACGTGTTGACTCTCGTTTCAACGGAGGATGTTCGATCGATGGACAAACCAAGGGAGAGCGCGATCGACCTAAATTTCGTTCTCCAGCAGCAGTGGAAGTTTTCAATGGTCGCACAACGTTGGCGCGACGTCAAAAAACCGACGGACGCTTGCGAATAATCCGAAAATAATCGAAGAAATAACATCATTCGGCCGGCGGTCGGCGCGTTTAAACGGGACCGGACGCGTATAGTATAAGTAATGTAAATTCAGGAACGATCAGGTCAGTGAATCATCCGTCGCGTAAAAGCAGCGGTCAGAGTTTATTTCGGGTAGATCGGATCTATTTTTTCGCCTCGATCGATTATGATCTATCTCGCGAACATCTTCGATATATTTTCATGATAATTGGTAGCCCTGAGGTTCGGATCTACCTCAGTCGTGACTAGTGAGTTAGACGGGAGGGGGGAGGGAAGGTGGAGGGGTGGAAGGTGGAAGAGCAGAGGAACATCAAACTTATAAACAGCAAAACAGCCAGGATTCGAAAAATATTCTTATTTCAGTCGCGCTCGTTTCGACACGTCGAGGGTGGGGAATCTATTTATAAAACGGGGATGGTCCACACGACGCCCACGTTGTCGTTGGACACGTAACAATAATTTATTAAAATAATTGCAATAATCCGGCACACAGCCCACAAAAGTGCCCATCCTCGTCCCTTAGGTTAATCGTCGTTTTCTTTGTTTCTTTCTTTTTTCTTTTTTTTTTCATTTCTTTTCTTTTTTTCCTTTTTTTTTGACTTTTTGCTTGTCACTGAAAGTAGGTGCAGACATGTCTTTTCGTGTGGTGCGCAGCAGCAAGTTCCGCCACGTGTACGGGACAGCTTTGAAACGTGAACAATGTTACGACAATATAAGGGTGTCGAAGTCTTCGTGGGACTCAACCTTCTGCGCCGTGAACCCGAAATTCCTTGCCATCATCGTGGAATCCGCAGGCGGTGGTGCCTTCATAGTTTTACCGCACAACAAAGTAAGTTCCATTCCTTGATTATATTAGATTCCAAGTTTTTTTTTCAATTTTAAGCATTGTACTTGTATGTCATTTGTTATTTCTTTGGACCACTTGACAGATAGTTCTCATAGTCATTTACATTGTTTTAGGTAGGCCGAATACCAGCAGATTATCCATTGGTTGGTGGACACAAAGGTCCTGTGTTAGACATTGCGTGGTGTCCTCACAATGATAATGTCATAGCGTCAGGTTCTGAAGATTGTGTAGTCAAAATATGGCAAATACCCGATGGTGGTATTTCTAGGACATTAACAGAATCTGTGGTAGATCTCCAGCTGCATCAGCGCAGGGTCGGCCTTGTATTATGGCATCCATCAGCACTGAATGTGTTGCTCACAGCTGGGTCTGACAATCTCGTGTTGATTTGGAATGTAGGCACGGGAGAAGCTATAGTACGAATAGATTGCCATCCAGACATGATTTATTCTGCATGCTGGAACTGGGACGGATCCAGAGTAGTTACCACTTGTAAGGATAAAAAAATCCGAATTTTGGATCCAAGAACTGGAGAGATATTGGAAGAGGCTATTGCACATGAAGGTAGTAAAGCAACCCGTGCAATCTTCCTCAGGTACGTAAATTTCTTTTCAGTGGGTGTTTGTAAATATGGATAAAGGCTTTTATTTCGTAATTATACATGTATTTAATCACAAATATTTCTACAACCATATATTTGCATATGAATACTGATAAGTTTCAAATAAATGTTACCTGTAAATTTCAAGTAAATGCGTATTTAGGAATAGCAAATACCTAAATTATGCAAAACACTATCATTATATCTTTCACATTAGATAATCATCAAACAGTATACATCCGCCTTTTTACACAATAAATGTATCTATAAATGTGATATTTATCTTAAAACAATTATTTTTTGTGACAGACATATCTTTTAATGACATGTGATTGATACTTCTATTTGCTCATTAAGAATACATTTATTTTTTATTATCACATGGTCTTTCCAATTTGTGTAGTGCGAGATTTGGTATTTTTTAATGGAAAACTTGAAGATTGAAAATTCAACTCGTCAGGAGGATGCCAGCTTAATAAATGCAAATATCAAGTTGTCTACTGTGTAGTATCTGCATAAAAGTTTCAGTAAGTAAAGTATATTATTTTAAAATATAACATTCTATTCATGTCGATAAATAAGTTCAGAATACAGTGAAATAACTACACTAATATTTAAAACGTTATTAATGCATTTTTGAATGCTGATATCTGTTTCGAGAAATGGACAAGTCGATTCAGGTATATATGTCTTATAAAATTCAGTGATCAGCTGGTGCACTGATCTCCATTTCAAATATAACTTATAATGATGTATTGTGCAAACAATATTTGCTATTCCTTAATGATCATTTTATTTGTTTGATTTGTTTTATTTCACACGTGTGACAAAAGATACAGTTTTCAAATGTTGTAACAAGGTGGATGTTATTCAGTTTTGATGATTAACTTGAATGAGACAATTCAAAAAACAGTAAAAATAAATTATTAAATTATGTAAGAATAATATTCAAACATATATCTTATTGAATTGTATATTTTTGTAGGGTTTTTATATTTGTATGTATGAACATATGTTAAAACTTTGTATCCACAAAGATGTGTGTTTAATATGTTTTCAGGGGAGGCTTGATCTTTACCACAGGTTTCAGTAAAATGTCTGAAAGGCAGTATTCCCTGCGCGCTCCAGATATGTTAGGTGAACCCATAGTTATGGTCGAATTGGATACAAGTAACGGTGTTATGTTTCCCTTGTACGACCCTGACACAAATTTAGTGTATTTATGCGGGAAGGGCGATTCTGTAATTCGATATTTCGAAATTACCCCTGAACCTCCCTTTGTTCATTACATCAATACGTTTCAAACTCCTGATCCTCAAAGAGGTATAGGAATGATGCCAAAACGAGGCTGTGATGTTAATAGCTGTGAAATAACTAGATTCTACCGGCTCAACAACTCGGGCTTTTGCCAGGTTATCTCTATGACTGTACCGAGAAAGGTATAATTTATACATTATATATATATACGTACAATATTGAATAATTAAGCCTATTTTTGTTTTCTAATCGTTTTAATATCATTTTCAGTCAGAATTGTTTCAAGAAGATTTGTATCCTGATACTCCTGGTGACACTGCTGCGATATCTGCCGAAGAGTGGGAAAACGGAACCGATGCAGATCCCATATTGATCTCTTTGAGAGACGGTTATCAACCCTCGGTAGCCAAGAACGAATTGAAAGTGCATAAAAAATCAAACATATTGAGTAAAGGAGCAAAAGTTGCTTCGAATTCTGCACAGAATGCACAAGCATCGGCAGGCATTACCGTACGTTACTCATTACTAGTTTAAATTTATTAGTTTAAATTTGCTTTTTGGCAAAATTTGTTGACAATAGCTATTTGCTTCACAGGAGGAACTTTTGAAGGAATTTACGGAGGAAATACGAAAACTGAAAGCGGTGATCGTGAAACACGAGGGTAGGATACGGGTGCTCGAATCCGCCGTTGCTCTTCAAATGAAAGAAGAAGAAAGAAAGGAGAAGTCATCTTCACCGACTGACAGAGAAATGCTTGCATCCGACGAGGTGTAGTTTTTAGCTCATATTTCAGGCTCAAGAAAACGATACGAAAGGAAGGAAAACATAATTAATTGTGTAATAAAAAATGATCGTATATTTTGATATAACAATTTGTGTAAATAGTAGATCTTAGCTACGTTGTGTGTTTTGATCTTTTTTTTTTGCAATGATTTTTGCTATTTATTGTACATCCGTTCATCATACATCCTCTGCATTTGTACTATGTTTACATCTTTTATTTTGTTAGATTATAGTCAATATGTGAAACCATCTGTTACTAGCATTAAGATTTCAGATTGTCTAATATGCAATACTTTCAACTCCTACAATCATTCAAGAAAAAAAAAGAAACAAGTGTAAAATAACAAAATATGTCTTATATCGTCTTATTTCCGGTATTACGAGTAATACACAATTCATATGTAAGTTACAAGATAACCGAGAAGAAAAGAATCACTATTTTATGAACTTTTGCAAAATAACAAATAATAAGATCAAATATTTTTGACTAATCTGTTTTTTGACATTGTGAAAGGAGATCGTTAATTTTGTACAAAAATAACGTGAATATAAAACAATATTGTAACTGATTGAAGAGAATTCTGTATATTCTTAAATGAAACACCCATTATTCTAATATATTTATATATTAATGTGCAATATATTTTATAATATATATATATAATATATTTTTTTCAGAATTTAATCTATTCACAGAAAAACGTGATGAACGATTTACTAATTTGCGTTTGTCGAGCGCGCCATTGTATTCAATAGATAGAAAAATGCTCGGGAGATGTCGCTAAAGTCGGTATCGGCTTGTATATTTATTAAGTGCAGCCTGATCGTTTACCATGGTTCATTCGCTCGTGCGAGTCAGTGAAATGTGCGCCGGCATACTCGTCGAATATGTGCATTGTTAATTTTTAGTTTCGGGTATTGCACTCACCATTATCGTGCGCGAGTGTTCTCAACACTCCCGTGCTACTGTCAATTCGTTTCACAGTGAGTAACATTATCGTTAACAAATGTCTATTGTTGTTGCGGCAAATGATTACGAGTCACCCGTTTTCGTAATCATATTACACGATGATTCTCTCGACGATAAAACAAAAAGTGGTGTCAATTGTGAATTTCTCTATGAAGAACCTAACTCGTTTAACCTTACTTTCACAGTCGCTGAAACTCTAATCGAAAAGGGATGGCGGTGCATCGAGGGCGGTCAACTTATTTGAGTATCGATTGTTTACGAAATTTCGTTTATTCGTCTATGTTGCAATGATCGGCGAGCGTTTTTTACCATTTTTCACTCATAATGTGACATATATTCGCATTGTATAATGAGCTCGGTTACAATACACATGACATTCCAAGCCATTTGGCATGAGGTTCGGATGCTATTTTAAAACCTTGTTTTGCGACATCGTTTTACGTGATGACAATGTGCACGTATTTGAAGGTATTTCGTAAAAATTGTGCGAGAGTTGACGATCCATTACCTCGAGAGAGATATCCCTTTGGATTCGACTATCTTTTTTTTTCACCGTTGCAACCAGATTTGATCAATTTTCGGGTTTTTGTGAAATATTTCGTCGACGTTATACACCCGTTACACGTTGTATATTCATGAAAAAAAAATAAAGAAAAGCTCGGTATAGACGTCAAGAAATATTAGAATTTGCTGATTAACACAACGCTGTGACTTACGTAATTCCACGTGTTTTAGGGGACTGTCAAGGTCTCGTAGTATCGAACAGCACAATGCGAATTATTTTCCGATACTTTATTCAAAAAGCAAGCGACTTCTTGATTAAACACACAATGCATATTACACGTTCTTTGATTTCTCATTTTTATTTCAATTAAAATAATTCTCGATTAACTACGAACATCTGATAAAAAGAAATAATACGTGCATTTTGCTACATGTGATATCTCGATTAAGTATATCTGGTTACTTTTATTGGTTAAGATAGTAGTTTTAACAAATATAAAAATATCGTTAACGGAAAAAAATGACACCTATCGATAAAATAGGAAATGACTATGCATTAATTGCGTCCATGTTTTTTTTTTATTTTTACTCGAAGTATATTACTATCTATGATAAACGATATTCTTTATTCAATGTGATAATTTGTCGTTGAGACGTGTTGTCATGACTTGATTTTCTAAAAAATCGATTAATCTAATTACTCTATGTTATTAATCTAATTACTCTATGCTTAGCAAAAGATTCCCGGACGTTCATATTTTC